CCCGGGAGGCGGAGGTTGCGGTGAGCCGAGATTGCGCCATTGCACTCCAGCCTCCCGGGTTCAGGCAATTCTCCTGCCCCAGCCTCCTGAGTAGCTGGGATTACAGGCACGCGCCACCATGCCCAGCTAATTTTTTTGTATTTTTAGTAGAGATGGGGTTTCACCATGTTGACCAGGATGGTCTCAATCTCATGACTTCGGGATCTGCCTGCCTCAGCCTCCCAAAGTGCTGGGATTATAGGCATGAACCACTATGCCTGACCTATTTAACACATTTTTAAGTGTACTATTTTCTTTTGTAACTTCCTCTTTTTTTGAGCAGGGGTCTCACTATGTTGCCTAGGCTGGTATTGAACTCTTGGGCTCAAGTGATCCTCCCACCTCAGCCTTCCAAGTAGCTGGAATTAACAGGTGCATGCCACTGTGCCTGGCTTTTTTAGTTGACTTTTAAACTATTTTTTAAAATCTTGGTAGTTGCTCTAGAAATTCTAACATATATTTTATTTTGTCATTCTCTATTTTAGGTTAATATTGAGTTGACTTCATTACAAATAGCAACTTTGTTCCAAAATATTTCCATTTTCTCCTATTCTACTCTGATATTGTCATATATATTACATCTACAAACATGAAAAACCCAACTATATAGTATCACAATTGCTGCTTTACAGATGATTCCCAGCTAATGCTGGTTTGACTTAGTATTTTTCAACTTCATGATGGACTTATTAGGGTATAAAATACATTTTTTACTTTCTATATCTTCAACCTATGATGGGTTTATTGGAACAGAATGCCATTGTAAGTCAAGGAGCATCTGTATTCTTTTACATCTTTTAAAGAAGTTAAGAGAAGAAAAAAGAAAAACATGTATTTATGCTGCCTTTTATATTTACCTATATATTTACCATTTCTTGTGCTATTAATTTCTTTCTGTGGACTCAGGTTACTGTCTAGCATCACCTCCTTTTCTTGTAAGTCAGCTAGCCCCATATTGTCTCCATCTTTATTCATCTGGGGATGTCTGTTTCACCTTAATTTTTTTTGAGACGAAGTCTTGCTCTGTTGCCAGGCTGGAGTGCAGTCGTGCGATCTTGGCTCACTGCAACCTCCACCTCCCAGGTTCAAGTGATTCTCTTGCCTCAGCCTCCTGAGTAGCTGTGACTACAGGCGCATGCCATCATACCCAGCTAATTTTTGTATTTTTAGTGGAGACGGGGTTTTACCATGTTGACCATGCTGGTCTTGAACTCCTGACCTCAAGTGATCTGCCCAACTTGGCCTCCAAAGTGCTGGGATTATAGGTATGAGCCACAGTGCCCAGCCTCACCTTAAGTTCGGAAGCACAGTTTTGCTGGATACAGAATTCTTGATTGATCAGTTTTTTTTTTTTCTTGTAACACTGAATAAAATATTGCATTGCCTATTTGCCTCTTTTGTTTCTGGTAAGTCTCATCTGTTAGGTATACTGTTGTTTGCTTCTATATGATGTGTCATTTAATCTTGCTGCTTTTAAGAATTTTCTGTCTTTAGCAGTTCTTCTATTGTGTATTTAGGTGAAGATCTCTGGGAATTTATCCTACATGAGGTCTGACAAACTTTTTGGATCTGTAGATTAATGTTTTCCCATCAAATTTCAGGAATTTTTGACTATTACTTCTCTCTCTCATTTCCTTTTGGGATTCTCATTAAACATCTGTTTGTATGTTTGATATTATTCCACCTGACTCTGAGTCCTGCTAATTTTTCTCCAACTTTTTTCTCTCTTCTTCAGATCATATAATCTTTATGGATTTCAAGTTCATTGATTCTTTCTTCTAACATCTCAAATGTGCTTCTGAGCCCCTTCAGTGCATTTTTATTTGGTTTATTGTCCTTCACAAGTTAGAATTTCTATTATTTTTTAGATAATTTCTATTCTTTTTATCAATATCATAGTGGGCTCATTGACATATTTTCCTTTAATTCTTTAATATTGGTTTTCATTAATTCTTTGAACATGTATTTGACAGTCACTTTGAAGACTGCCTCCTTAATTCAACATCTAGGCTCACTCCCTGGATGAGACAGCGTTTATTGAATACTTCTGCACCACTCCCACCCTCAAATGGGTTACACATTTCTCTTTCTTTTCTTTTTCATGTGTTGTAATTTTTTTGTTGTTTCTGGATATTATGGATATTATACAGTAACAACTTTTTATCCTGATTTTCTTTTTTTCCCTGAGGGTTTCTTTCTTTTCTGGTTTTTGACTGCCTTTTTTTGCTGTTTGTTTTTAAGTAATTTGCCTAAATTAAATATGCCTCTTCTACCATTTGCAGCTATCTCTCCTCTGTTTTAATTTTTTATATTTTAGCCTATGAGTTATTTTTATTTCTGCATAGCTTAGTCACTGTCAATGACTAGTGGTTGTGGTCAAACACCAGTAAGTCTTCTACCCTCTCCTGGTGGATCTGCATGGGAGTACATTAGAAGTTCAGACAGTTTTCAAGTCTATTGTGACTTTTACCTTTTGCCTGTCCCTCCTGGGTCTGCTCTGTACATGTGCTCAACCTTCCAGTCATCTAGGAATGTGTGGAGAGCTTGGGCCCTCTTAAGTCTCCCCTGGATTGCATGAGTCAGGGCTGTGTGGAGAACTTGAGCCCTCTTTGGTGCTGCATGTTTATGAAGCTTTCTTGGCCTCCAGGAGATGATTTTATCACGTCTCTCTATGACTTTCTCATTTCCAGGATTTTCCTGTTAAATTTCTGGCCAGTTCTTTTGTCTGCTGTTGTACCAACCAGGACTAAAATCTCAGGCTAGAATTGTAGGCTTTTCCCATTTTCCACTGTGAGTGTGGGTTTTCCACCATCTACTCACAAACATGTTGGCCCCCTTTAGCAAAAAAAGCTTCTGATTTTTGTAGCCAGCCCCACTCTAGCAGTATTACTATGTTAAATGAGCTGTGGTGAGGGACAGGGCCAGCCTCACAAGAGAATGCTACAGACTGCCTGAAGTCTTACTTCAAGCTCAGTACTGTTTTTAAACAAACCAAACTCTTCTCAATTGTTATTTATGATTGATTTCTAAATTTGTCAAAAACAAAATGGTTGTTTTTGACAAATTTGCCTGGTTTTATGGTTTTTCTGAGTATAGAATGTTGACTTTTTCAGTTCTTCATAGTTGGAAGTCTCCTGCTTTCATTTGGCTTTTGGCCTGCTAAATTCTTACTGGCATGTCAGATCTTAAAAGGTTTTTAAAGATATGCTTTACAATGTTTTTAGGGTTTTTTTAGTTGGAGGATGAGTCTAGATATCTAGCCAGCTATACAGAAGACAGTTAATAATTTATCTACTTTTATGACTATTAAGTGAAACTGTTAAGCAAAGAATTTAGCAAAGTGTCTGTAACAAAGGGGCTCAATAGTTATAATGTCTGAACACTTATATTGTAGGAATTATACATATATTATTTTATCTTAATATTTCAAAGAGGTAGGCATTCTCATTTTAATATTAGCAACAACAACAAAAAAAAGATTTACCAGACCAAGAACATACAGGTAGTAAGTCAGGATTTCAATTCAAATATACTCAACTCCAAAGCTGGTGCCTTCCCTACTTTACCATGCTGCCTTCCTGGTGAAGAAGGTTTCAGTGGCTGCTTTTTGGGAGATACCCTATAGACCATCTAGGACATAATAAGAAATTAAATCCATTATAGGGATTAGAAAGAGGGCTTATTGTTATACTAATTGACAGTGACCCAAAACATAGTAGGGGTACATACAGATTCCTAAAAGCAGATAGGGCTTTTGCTAAGATAATGTGAGTCACTGAAACTAATAAGGTTTTAAGGTTCTATACGATAGTTGCCCAAATTCCAATTATATATACAGTGAACAATTAAATATGAACTAAGACTGCTACAAAAATACCTAAACAACTGAACTACATTTCATTTCAAAGCTTATAAATATATTTGGGAATTAAGTAGCAAATGTTGAAGAAGTTGACTCTTTTGGGCTGAATCTTATGAAGTGGTAAAGCTTACTGGGGGGATCATGAATCTGTTCTCCAGTTCTGAATATTCAGAAACTAGAGTGTAAGCTACTGTGAAAACCTTCCTAATTAGTCTCTCCGCTTCCAGTGTGTTCCTTATATGCTTACCTCACCAGTTTTCCTAAAACATTCTTTAATCATGTTGCTTCTGTGTGGTTTCTCACTGTTCACTAGTAATTCCTTAATTCTTCATCCAAAGGCCTCTATTAATCTGGTTCTCAGTTTACTACTCAGCTCTTTCTCTCTCACAATTCCCTGTCCCTGGTGGGCTCATTTATGCTCCCCTTTTACCCTCTACTCTCACCACTTTCATTCTCATCTCCAAACCACTGCTTATTCCATTCTCCTTATTATTATTATTTTTTTGCCCCTACCATTGCACACTTTCCTGGAGCACACCCTTTTCTAGATTTCATCCACTCAAATCTTACAAGTTCTTTTAAATCTACCTCCTTTCATTCATTCAATGGACAGTGTTCATGAAATAAAGTGTAAGCTCCCACAAGTGCCTTTCCCATGTAGTTTATCAAACAATATATTATCATTCAAATTCCACCTCTAGCCTAGTTGTGGCTCCACATTAGGGGGAAATCTCATTCTGGTCCAAATGATATATCACGTTTATCCACTTTTGGCTGCCCCCAACTTTAATGTTTAGTAGATAGGGCCTTCTTCCCCTTAAGTGATACACCTATCCGAGGTGATCTACCATAGGTTAGGGATTGTCTCTTTGGGGCTATGACATAGTATATGGTTATAACAAAGTAAGAAATATATATCCAGAGAAAAAACTTAATTATAAGTGAATCTCATAACTGAGGTAGTCATAAATTATGGTGCGTAATGTTCTTGTTCTTAAATTCATAAAATAACTACTAATGCTTGAGTGCATTAATTATTTTACTTCATGCTGTGCAAACAGCTAAGCGATAATGGCCTCCCTTTGGTAAAAAAATCATAATAATACTTTCTATTTAAATGCTTAGTTTGCTTCCACCCCTATTTCATATTTCTTCCTTGCCATTTCTTTGCTATCCATCATCGTCCCCATGGTTTTCCAGTTAGCCATCAATGCAGATTGGATGAAATAAAGAATTGGCATAGGTGTCATTTCATCAATCCAGTCAACCTCCCTGCCTCAGTCTTTCTTTCCCATACTTACGGGAGGTGAGGGAAGGTGACAGAGGATAATGTTAGGCAGATGAAATGTACTTAAAAGAGCTAAGGACTTAACAAAACAGGAAAAATCAAGGAGTGGAGAAGGATAGGGGATACACAGCAGATGTTACGGAATTGTTTTTACCCACTGTAGTGGAACTAAGTCTTTTCCAGTTCTTGCTAGTTATAGTTAGTACAAGACCACACATAAAAGAGGTACAAGACACACATAAGAAAAAAGTGCATTCAGATGAAAATTGTTTGATAACACCTCTCTAGAAACTTGGTGGGTTAGGCAAAATGAGGATTGGCACAATCTGTGGCATAGTCTTACCTAAGGTGGCTTTCTCTTCTAATGGCACAGATCCATCACAGTTGATACAAAAGCCCATATTTCATTGACTAAAAGTGGCCAAAGGCTTATTCCTATTTCAAAGTATATTACTTGACAGTATATATAAGAATGTATCATTATTGTTTTTACATTCCAAGGCACTTGTAAAAGCCATAAAAATAATTTTGCTCTTACTATGTCAATGGACTTCCTTTAATCTTATTTGACTGTGTTCTAGAAAACAAGAAATAAAAGACAAAGTTCAGCTACTTGTATATAAATTTGAACTGGGATACAACAGCAAAGGAGAACGTTTCATTTTTGCTGAGGCAAACTGCTGAGGAAAATAAAAGTAGTTATGCTGTTAGCAATCTGCTTCTTCTTACCCAGAACATAAATCTCACTGTTGACTACAGCTGTACTGAATCGGTACTTAGAGTACTTCATGGGTGCCCGCACACTCCATTGATCTTGGCTGGGGTCATACTGCAACAGTTTGTTGCTTAATCGATCAGGTTCTTCATCAGGAAGATCCATCTGTATGAAATATGACAGCCAATATAATAACATACAATTTAGTGATCTTTGTGAGTACATGAATGCAATTAATCAAAGCAGACAGCCAAGGAGATAAATAGAGGTTAACTACAGTGACTCATACTCACAAACACACCAAACCCCATGACTTGGATTATAAGTATACTGTCAATATCAGAGGTATTTATATTCTAAAATAATGAGCCTAAGGTGTTCAGTTATAGCAGACAATCTGTGATCTTAGCAGTGGAACATTCATTACAGCTTTTTTTTTTTTTTAAAGAAGCAACTGCAAAGCCTTAAAAATAAAATGAAGCTCTCTTGAATAGTATTTAAAGTGTAATTCTATTTTACCAAACTTTATAGTTGTTGATTTTAATATTTGTGAGAAACTAATTTTAATAATTTATAAGGCATTTTCTTTATATTTTTCTAATCCATATGAAACAAAGTTGCCAAAAAATTTTAGTGTCTTTGTAATTATTTTTACACCACAATTATGACTTATATAGAAATGTCATGAATTCATTTTTCAAGATTTATGGACTAATATAAATTATTTGCAGTTATTTTAACATACTTATTTTATAAATTTTTAATGACTAGAGAAGGTACAAATTAAACAACTTTATTTTTACATAGATGTGGCTTTTCCTATTCATAAATGTTAGGAGAAATAATGTTTTTTGTATACATGTATGTGGAACTTTATATGACTTCAAACTGAGGATTCATGAGTATCATTTTTTTGGGATGCAAGTGTTCAACAAAGAAATAACTGGCATATTTATGAAAGTTTATGCAATTAATTTTAGTTAACTACTCTAAATACACCAAGAGTTATGCTCACCATGGCACATGCACAACCCTGTGTGATCTTGCAATTTAGCATGTTATACAAGGTACTTAATCAGGCAGCAAAGCCTTTCCTCCGTGCAGTTAACATCCACCTTTTCTGTTCAGAGACTTTATAAATTAACAAACGATGACTTTATAGTTTTAATTTTCCTTCTAATTTAAGTACTTAATCTCTATTTTAGTGAAAGAAATGCAAATAAAAGCTTCTAAGTTGTTTTTGGAGCTTATTCATGCAAAATTAACTATGTAAATGGATAGTTTTGAAAAAATGATGAATAATCTGTCAGGTTTCTCCTGCTAGCTGTGATGAAATCTGTACTACTTTTTGACATAGAGCAGAAAATTTTAAATGTGTTAAATGTGAGGTTTAAGTTGTTAAAACAGGTATGACATACTATAAATAAATGGCGAAATCCAAGCTTCTGGAATGAATGCAAATAGCATCAGTTTTATCATGAAGCAAAATTGGAGAAACAAAAAATAATATAGGCAAAAATAAATTTACTATATACCATGAGGATGACCTATGAGCGAGTGAGATTAGTGTTTTTAGAAAGTGCAGCTGGCCAGGGAATAAGGCAGCTGGTGTGATGCTATCAAAAGTGCTCCCAGGCACCTAGAGAGGACATCCAGAGGGGAGGGAGAAGGCCACTGTGGCCACACACCCCTGATTTTTCATTCTGGTTTGCCATCACTTCACTGGCCTTCAAGAGAAACACCCTTATTCTGGGTTCTCTGCCTGCTGATGCCCAATAAAAACATCAAGTGTTACAATCACAGTATGCTTTCATAGAAATGATTGTGCCATCACAGATCAGTATTCTAGTGTCTCACTTAGGGTAAGAATTTTAAATATGGAAAAGGACAATGATTTACTTGCTTTAGGTCACAGAGCTGGATGGGGATCCAGCTTTTCTTCCTCCTAGTTAGATGCTCCTTACAGATAATCTCACATCACAAACATCTTTCATAATTAGCAAGGATGGGAGGATTATGAAGAACACAGCATGAATAGTGAATCAAGTCATGTCTATGAAAACACACTTTAAAAACCCATTCTGCTAAATTGTTTTAACACTTTAAAACCTTAAGTTATATTCTATAAAACAGAAAGCATTTTACCAAAATATAAGTCATATACTCTTTTAGTATTCAACAACTACAACAATTTTTAACATAGCAGCCAGCCTCAGTATAGCCATGCCAATTGTGTATACAGAAAATTTCTTAACCTGAGGGGTCCAGCCTCCAATCACATAAAGTTTATTATTCACTGTCACTACAGCATGACATGCCAATTGCAGTGGAAGGGGGGACACCCTTTTCCAATTGTCCCGTTCTACAGAGTACTTATCAACATAGTTTGTAATAAGATACTGGTTTTTAATTTTCATCTGTCCTCCTATAACATAGAGGTCATTATGAATACTGCCCAGAGCATAGAGTTCTCGAAATTCAGCTGTACATAACTTTTCCCAAAACTGGTTTCCTCTATCATGATACCTGCAAATCAAGAGAGAGAGAGAGTATCCAGGATTAGAGGTAACATGAAAGCAATTTACCCAAGAAATACACTTATTTATTTTCTGACCAAAAATAATGAGATATGGTTCTTTCAATTGGAGGACAAAAACTAATACGAGATAGTGATATACATTTGCTTTTTTTTTTTAAGCCATGATGAACAAAATATAATTTGCCTTAAAATAATTAACCACATATACCTGAAGAATTTTAGCAAAAAATGTAGAGAAAAAGTATAGATTATCCAGGACTAGCCTTCATTTTCTAATTCCAAGAAAGAAAATCAAGAATGAATAGAAAGCTTTTCAGCAAATCATTTGTAATTTTACCATAAAAGTAAGCAAAAATACAAGTATGCCTTATTCTATGGACAAGAAATATCATTTTAACATGAACATTAAAGAAATCACAGTTTTAGGGCAGAGAATCTAAAAGCATCTCAATTCATAAATTTCTCATATGTAGAATTTTAAGAACTGCTGTGGTTCCAGCTGGCTTACAGTTGGGTCAACAGTACTGTGTAGAGTCACAGTACTTACAGTTGGGTCAAGAGTCTGTTGGGCACTTAACATCTATTTTAATCTACTAGATATGGCAATTTTGGTAATTTCTTCCAGAGTATCAGTCTAAGAAGAGACTTAAGAGCTAGGGACACTAGTATTTATGGTCTCTCAGTGCCTTTTAGAGTCCAACACATTAACTGGTTGTGTTTTTGATGGGGCATTATATGGTCACTGCGTAGATGAGTTTGTGGCTGTCTTTGTCTTGCATCATGATAATGGTAAATCTTATCTCCAATCACGATTGAAGATACATAGTCTGAGAAAGACAAAAGTACTTAATGGGGACAGTGGGATAAAATATGTGAAATTAAATGTGCCAGAAAATCCAGCAAGTACATCTGGAATTCAAAATTAAACAAAACACAAAAAACAGAAAAACATGGAAATTAAGAAAAAAGTTGTTAGTTTACAAATAAATGAGAAAATTATGATATTTTTTGTTTTATACAGAGTACAATTTTTAAGTATAGACTACTTATCTTTCATTTAACACCTGGCTGTTAAGTCTATGATAGGAATTTTCCCAGTTGTCTAAGCCAACTCTTCCCTTCTTTCCCAGAGAGACCTCTTTACTTGAGGCTTGACAGGGAAGTTGGAAGGCATGCTCCTTTCTAAGGGGGCATGCCTGGCTTGTCACAGCTGAAGGCAGAAATTTATCAAACCTTATAATGGCTGTCTTCTATGTAATTCTAGGCAGAAAACCAAAGTCTCTAGAATCACAGGTGATATTTTCATCACTATTTTTAATTGCATAACTTTTAGAAGAGAAAGGAGGAATAGGATCTGTAATGTATGTTGGGGCTACCAAAGTAAAGCCAACTGAGTGAATATATAAATGAACTTTAAAAAAATGGGTTTGGATTTTCTGAGACATAGTCTAAGAAAATAGGCTAGGAGTGAAGTACATCCCATAAAGGTTAGGAAGTAGATGTTTGCTGGGTGACTTGCTAATCTGATTTTTGTTTTCACATTTAGAACTGAAAACGGGGAGAGATAATGCCCAGATAAAACTCTAAAACTTACTATTAAGTGGCTATGACATAAAAAAAAATAGTGACAAAAGCATTCATTGTTAAAGAGGTTGACAGTTTAAAGGCAAATGGAGATAAGTGAAGGAAATAGAAAGGTACATCTTTTTTGGAAGAAATAATCTTCCAGAGTACTAGTCTACTTCCTTTTTTAAGTCAATAAGAAATGTATCTGCATGGAAATCTATGAGTAGCGGCAAACTGAAGAGCATCTGGACAAAGATCAAAAGACTAAGGTACACAAATAATATAACAGGGATGTAGCACAGGATGATAAATTTCTCATCCATATCACGAAAATGGCACCACAGTGACCTTCAGTAATGCTAGGAGATTTTAATTACATAGATCATCAGCTGGAAGTCCCATTTAAGCCTAAAGCAATACTTCTGACAGTTTCATTATTGGAGGAAATGATGGTGGTAACTAATAACTTCTACCCTAACCCTGACCAATGTGGAGGAGATGGTTGGTGATGGGAACCTGGTTGAGTTCAAGATAAATAGGAGGGAAAGCATGGGGTATCTAGTTAGGCATTTGCTGTTAGACAGGGAAATGGGCTTTCAACAAGCTAAAAGGAAAGACGTTTGAGGACCAAAACTGAGACACTTTGACAGGGTTGGAGGTTTATTAAAAATAAGATCTGAAAAAAAAAAAAGGCCGGGCATGGTGGCTCACACCTGTAATCCAAGCACTTTGGAGGCCAAGGCGGGTCGATCACCTGAGGTTGGGAGTTCAAGACCAGCCTGACCAACACGGTGAAACCCCGTCTTTATAAAAAAAAGAAAAAAATCTGATGGCAGAATTGTAGACTATCTTGAGGAGGAAGAAAAAGAAGTATATAACAAACCTGAGGTACTGGGTCAAGAGGGTCTAAGATGGAAAGAAGGGCACCCAACCAACAGCAAGTGTAAAACAGGTGGCATGGACCTGTGAGAACCACGTCAGGAAGCCAAGGTTTCCTCTTCCTGTGGGGGTCTGCTCTGCTGACTCAGTGGTCTCTCCCTGATAATGCTGAAGAAGCTGTTCTTGTGGCTCAGGGACATGCTTGGCCACCATGGGCACAGGTCTAGGTCACTCAGCCAGGGCTCCGCATTCCCTCTCCTATCACTACTAGGGAAAATTAGACAGGTCTTCAAAGTATGAATGTGGAAAAGGGACAGGCCTGTAGCTTGAGACAGATAATGTAATGCTAGGAGATGACAGAAAAGTAATAGACCTCTTTATCCTCTCTTTGGCCCCATCTTCACTGCTAAGAATTACTTTCTGACTGAAAAGTCTAAACAAACCCTGGTAAAAGAGACCTGAGAGGAGAAAAATATTGAAGGCAAGTTTTACTATCTAGTATTTATTCCATGTGCATATTTCTCATTTTCTGGCTTAGATTTAAGTGCTAAATTCTCATTTAATACTGGCTGAATAAACAGTAAATAAATGTATGTGTTCTTAAAAGCAAAACCTAAATGAGACGCTACTTCCTAGCAGGCATTCTTTCCTCTCCCTGCAATTCCAGGATTAAAGCATTCTTAGACTACAAACATTTTACAATATTGGAGATTTAAGCAAGATCCACAAATTAAGGACACAGAATGAAAACTGACAGATTATTAGTAACTTATGGTTAAGAAAAAAATTACTTATTACTCCAAATTTTGAACTAAAAAAGAAATTCAAAGGAGTCAGTGTTAATAAACTTTCCTTCTTGTTATATCAAGATTTTAAAAAACAAAGCAGTATATTAGGCCCTATATATGGAAAATAAAGCTAAGAGTGAAAACTAAAATGGGATCAAAACACACACATTTAACTTATGCAAATTCAACTATATGTTCATTAAAGGAAGAGAAAAAATAATTTAAAAATGTGAGTGATTTCATTAAGTTCTATATATGTTACATTTATATTTATATATATTTATGTATTTTATCTATGCTATATTTATATTTCGAGTTATAGATTATATATATACAAATGTATACACAAGCACACAAAAACATGTTCTGTATACTATTACTATGGGAGACATAGGGTAATTTTGACTACAAGTAATTTAAGACGTGATGACTTTTTGCAGCTCTTCTACTGTTGATAGTATCAAAACAACATAATTAAGCAAATTTGCTGCTAGATACAAACCTATAAATTTCGACATTCTTGTTCTTTTGTCTAGAGAGTTTAGAGGCACTTGCTTCTCCAGCCACAATTATAGTGTTATCTTCCATGACAACACCAGTACACACAGTTCCTAAACCCTCTCCATACTTGGGAGATGAGATGAAATAGGTTTTCCGTGATATAGGATCATAACAAAAACTGGCATCCCCATAGCTCCTATGTCTTGATCTGATTCCTGAAGAATTGTTGCCAATGCAAAGCAGAAGACTGGTAGTCTCCATGCCATAGCGCAGATTTAGAGAGTGCTGTTGGGGTGTCTTGATGGCTTTGAATGCATTTTGAATTATGTCAACACAACCTGCATCACACAGAAGCATTGTGTTCCTTCTTAAGGCTTGTCTTAAAAAAGAAGGATTTACAAGTTCCAATCTGACTTGCTTCAAAAGCTCAACAAGATGCTCTGTACGCAATTCTTTGTTATGATTTACCCATCTCAGAACTAAGTCCAGAATGCTCTCTTCTCTGGATATGTTGAGATCATCTGATTTAATAAGTGTCAAAAATTGGTGCACTTCAATTTCTAGTATTTCTTCATGTAAGCTCACCTCAGCAAAGTGCTGATATAAATATTTCTTTGATTGATCAGATAAATCTTCAGCTCCAATCTGCTTTGCAAAATAATAGATACCTAAACAGTTCGAAGCATCCATGTGGTCCATCATATATTTTTGACACACACTGAAGACTTCTTCCATCTGCATAAAATAGGCAGCCATAGCTACAGTCTGTACATTGGCATTATTGATATCCAAAGCTGCATTGTACATGTAATTTAATAACACTGCCACACTTTCTGCTGTGATGTCATAAAGTATGACTTCCCTTTGATTACATTCAAGTAGTCCACAGGTGAACATAGCTTTGAAATAAGGACTAAATGCAGCCAGGACCAGTCTGTGGCAAGGAAATTTCTCTTCTTCTGCTATGAGTACTACATCAATCATTTCTGCTAATTCTTTCATGTTCTTAATTTGATTCAGTAAATTCAAGCTATGTTGGTATTTTTCTTTTCCCTCCATCTTGCACTCCATGATCTACTCTCCAAAGTTTCCAAATAAGTCTTCTTTAAGTTTAGCTTGATTTCTGAGGGGCTATTTGCATGTCTGATTACTCACGAAGCTACAGAGATGTCAGGAAACATTTCTAAGGAAAGAAAAAAGGCAGTTTTCTTCTAAGAAAAAGTTCTCTATAATTCAGATAGGTAGCATTAGTTTTAAAAAGTACTTATAAACAAATATTATTCACTCCAAGCAGAGCAGTTTAAGACAACTACTTCTGTATCTAAAAATATTTTTTTTTGATTATGTAAACAGTAAATAATTAACTGCTGTCACAAATTCTCCTAATCAGCAGCAGAAGTTTTTCTAGGACTGGAAAGACTTCCCTCCCAACATGTATGGAAAGAGAAGTGATAAGCTGGGCACATTTTGCAATTCCATTTCCAGTTACCAAATACAGCTGACCTGCAGGCAGAGGGTATGGGGCATCAGTTAATATTCTCCCTGAGGAGATGCAAAATCTCCCAAAAGGTTGTATGCATCCCCTCCAAAAAATATACCCAACTGTTATAATGGTCAGTCTGCAAATGCATGACTAGGGCCTTGTACTATATACCTTGGAAGAAGAAAAACTGAAAAAAAGTCCACTAAAATTCTGCTCAAACTTTGATGTGGGACAAATAATTCAAAACAGTAGATAACACAAAGATCATATTTACTGGGTTTTGAAAGGCACTACCAAATGTCAGCTGATGTGAAAAGTCACAATATTTAAAACACACAACTAAATCACCCTAAACTTAGAAAATGCATAAACCCATACGATTTCTCTGTCCTCCCTCCTTGCTCAGGTTTTATTTTTTCCCCATTTCATAGTGGCAGAGACTGAATCTCTCTTCACCTTAAAAAGCACTAGTGTAAGTTTTTTAAAGCTAGCTGTCTCATCTTCATCTTCCCTGGAGAAATGAAAACAGGATGTTTCAAGGAAGTTAATTAGCTGTTTTGATTTGAAAAGGACATTCCTAGAGTCAGAAACCTTAATGTTAGAAGAGGATCTCAAGTGTCTACCTCCAGTTCTAACTTGGCTATAAGTTGTATGCAGTGAGAATAACATTGATGGCAAAAGTTAATACATTTCTAGATTATGAGTAAGATAATATCCTTTTGGGGTGACTATTCTCTACTTCTCTGCTTAAATCCAGCTGAAGAGTTTTCAGAAGTGAAATGGTCCTGTTTTAAAGAGAGAACTGTAATGGTCCTGTTTTAAAAAGAGCATTTGGATATCCCAAGATTCCCAAATATAAATCAATTTCTTGAATAAATATTTACTTGGATGCAGTTTCTCTGTCTCAAAAACATTGGCTTTGACAACAACAAAAAACCATTTCTTTTAAAACAGAAATAACTATTTTAAACATTCTAAAGAAACATTTACTATACATTTAAAAAATAGGCCTATATATTTTTGTTGTATTCCTTCCTTCCAGCTGTATTTATTACAAGTTCTGAAAGCTACTCTAATCGTTAGGGATTTATAGACCAAATAAATTTACTGATGAAAATCCAGAAAAATACCTGGGCAGTTATATTAGCCACCACACCTCAAAAAACATTCTCAGTTTTGTTCCTTGTACATACAAGGTACATAGAAGACATTGGCATGGCACATGGGGGCTTTAAAGTGAAAAAGCCCTGATTTGGATCCCAGTTTAGCCTAAACCTTGGCTTCTTCATCTGTAAAGTGGGAATAATGTACACAAATCAAGTAGCTAAGTTAGTCCTTGGCATCTAACTGCTCAATAAATGGACATTATTGTTAGTTTCCAGTGATATAACACAGTAAGCTCAAAGGTTAGGTTACTCAAGCCAAAATCTGTGTTCCTAACCTTTGAGCTTACTATGGGTTTGAAGCCTTGTTCTATTATCTAGCAATAAGAACACGTTCTGTAGCATCTTTATGTTCTAGTTTTCTCACCTGAGTTTGTTTTGAGAATTTCATAAGAATATTTGGGAAAATTAGATAAGGCCATGCATATACAATATGCAATTTTCCTGGTAAAACTTGCTTGGTAAAGCTGAAGCAGGATATATCTGTACACTTTTCAAATAATAAAAATATTGGGGTACATATACAAACCACTGTGGGTACAGACACAGCTCCTAAATGAAAAGAGCTGATAGTAACTTTCCCTTGTAATGAAGGCAGAGTACATTCTCCTCTCATCAGCAAAACAAAACTGTATAAATGTTCTCGGTGATATAAATGGGAAGCTACTCACTGCTTCAATTTATAGAAGACTGAACTAGTGCATTCATAATAATAGTACCCATAATAATACAGAAAAATAGAGTAGCAAAGATGCATATAAATCATGAGAATAAACTCTAATTACTTTGTAAGTTCAAAAAGCAGTTATACTCCTGTCTACTACATTTCATTTTGAGAAATGAACCACTGTAAATGTTAATGTGGTGCAAAAAATGTCAATTTCTTTAAGCCATGGATGTTTGACAATACTTAATCTTATAATGTTTACATTATCTTTACTATATTATTTTTACTGCTTAAGTTGCTACTTTCTCTAAATAATGGTTGATATATGACCGTGCCTTCTTTTCTAGGAAACTCTCCATGTTTTGCTGAAGTTTCACTAGTTTAAATTTATAGCAGCACTGTTTGAAATAGCAAAAATTTGGAAATAACTTAAATATCCATTAATAAGAGGTCATATTGTAGTATATTCACTAGATAATATTGTACAGTAAAAAAAGAATGAACTAGATCTACATTTGTACAAATGGCTGTATCTCACAAACATAATAATGGATGGAAAAGACTGTAGAATACATGCCACATACCACTGATATGTTTCTAATATGCAAAACAATATTCTATATTCTAATAGAGTAAATACTGATGTTCAATTCTGACCAAGTATGAGTATTTGGTGAATCTGGCATAGGGCACACAGGAGCTTTTTGTACCATTCTTGGAATTTTTCTGTAAGTTTGGAATTATAAATTCTTTAAGGATCTGTATAACTGTAGTGGAATATAAAGACAGAAAAGGTAATTACAAACACCAAATTCAAGATAGTGGTTCCCTTCAGGAGTTGTGTAAAAAGAGAAACGCAAGAGGGAAGGATGACAAGGAGTTTCAATTATATAAATATTTAATTTCTCCAGCTGTTTGGTGGGTATTCAAGACATACTTTATTATTCTTAATGCCTCTTTGTGTATCTTAAATATTGTATAAGTTCAAAATTTTTAAAAACTGCGTTGAGTCACTCACAGCTTTTAAGAAACCTAAATGTTGTAAACCATGTGATATATGACTGTGCCTTCTTTTCTAGGAAACTCTACATTGTGGTTGCTGCACTGCTATTGCCATTCACAGATTTACGTGTGTGTGTGTGTGTGTGTGTGTGTGTGTGTGTGTGTATGAGAGAGATAATAGATACATTATGAATTTTCTTTTTAAGGTGTCAGAGTGTAGGTAGACCAATTTATGAGTGATTGGAAAAAACAAAAGATTATGACCTCCCTATCTAGTCTGGTGAGGACTGCTTTGAAAACTTGTGGTTCTAGCCCTCCCTCTGCCTTAATACCCCTGGTATCAGCCTGTATAGGAGGCAAGGGCAAAATCAGTTCCTAATCCTGCTTCAGCAGGAAAAGAAGTTACTGCATTCCTAAACTGGCATGTATTTTTTCCCATAAAAATGTTCAGTATGGTGAGTAGCTTATAATCATGATAGAGTTGATCAACATCAAACCCTGTATTTTTAGCGAGGCAAAAAACTGAAGACAGGAGAAATGACTTGGACACGGCTAAATTCCAGTCTGTTTAAAACTTCCTTCAACAGACATTGGTTGGAAAGCCAAGAAACGGTGACATTATGATGTCAGAAAATGATGTCCTAGTTTCAATGTTTAAAACAAAACTGTTTTTAAGGGTAGGACTCTTTTATACATTGGCCACTACTATGTATAAAGTTATTACCCCACATTAAAAAAAAATATCCTAGGCCTGTTTTCACCAATGCCACCCCTCATTCAGGCATTCTGGTACCTACCAACTTTTCCTGCCTCATCTCCAGACTTTCCTTCCTTATATTTTTCAATCTTTGAGTTGTATCAAACTACTCACAGCTCTAATGCCTTTAACATGCTGTTCCGTCTTTACACATGTAAGTCTGTGTTGGAAACATCTCCCCCATCCACCTGAAAAAATACAACTGGGTCTTCAAAATTCAACTCAGATATCACTTTCTCACTAACATGTCCCTTTGCTTCCTTGCTGGTATTGTGAACATTGTGGTTGCGGCACTGCTATTGCCATTCACTTTTGCAGATGCTTGCCTCTTCTCAATGATGAGCACACCGTGGGTAAGGGACTTGTCTTCATCACTTCAGTATTCTTTAAAATTTTTACTTATTTATGTTAGAGACAGGGTCTTGCTCTGTTGCCCAGGCTGGGACCTCAGCCTCTCCCATAGCTGCACCACTACATGTACCACCACACCTAATTTATTTTTATTTTTTTGTAGAGACAGGGTCTTACCATGTTACTCAGATTGGTCTCAAACTCCTGGCCTCAAGTAATCCTCCTGCCCTGGCCTCCCAAAGTGTTGGGACTATATGCTTGAGCCACTGTGCCTGGCCGCTTCTGTATTCTTGTCTGTGATGACACCTGGACACAGGAGTTGCTCAACATGGTTTGTTCAGTTAAATTAATGCCTTGCTTAGTCCTAAATTACAAGTTAAGGATAACCTTTTTTTCTTTAGCTTTTATACATGTTAATAAAACACTATATCCAAGATTTTTTCTACATATAAAATTTATTGTGATACTATAAAATATGTATTTGGTGTTTGACCTTTTCCTAACATACAACTCCTAAAATCCTTGGAATCTCCAAAGTGATAAATGCCTTTCTGTATACTAATGAGTTCACTGAGGGCTGGCAGCCACTAGAGCTTCGGGATAAGATCTGGTCACCAGAAAGAACAAGGCAGGATTAGAGAATTGGAACTCCAGGGAGAAGGAAGGGAGGAGGAAGTAAGTTAAGTTCATCACCAACTAATGGTTCAATCAAGCATGCCTATGTAATGAAGCCTTCATAAAAAACCAGAAAGGCAGAGTTTGGAGAGCTTCCGGGACAGCTGAACACGTGGAGGGATCCTGAAGAGCGGTGCACCTGCCTGTACCGCTTCCCCCATATCTCACCCTATATATCTCTTCATCTGTATCCTTGTTAATATCCTTTGTAGTAAACTGGAAATCTTAAGTGTTCCCCCGAATTCTTTGAGCTGCCCTACCAAATTAAACCCAAAGACGGAACCCCAACTTGTGATGGGTCAGTCAGAAGTTCTGGATGCTGGGACTAGTGTCTGAAGAATGTGGTAGCCCTGTGGGACTGTACCCTCAACCTGTGGGATCTGACACTGTCTCCAGGTAGACGATGTCAGAATTGCACTGAGTTAAAGGACACTCAGCTGGTGTCTGCTGCAGAACTAAGTGACTGGTTGCTGATGGAGAGAAATTCCCACATACCTCTTGGTTAGCAGAGGACACAGATGTTTTCTGTGTTGATTGTTGCGCGAGAGCAGCAGAAAAACAGTTCTGTTTTCTCCTACTCATCAGTGCTTAATGCTTCAAGTTGCTATCCTCTTGTTCCAGTCAAAGAAATCATTCAGAATCATGAAGTGACTCCCTTGCTTTTAGCTTGATGCATTATGATACCCACTTTTCACTTGTACCCTCAAAATTAATTCCCAGTCATCATCTGCTCTCTGGGATTTGACCCCATTCTTAAGGAACAACTGAAGCCAGGTATTGGCTTCACTTACGCCTGAGATTACAAATTGGCTGCTCAGTTTTTTTTCGTTTTTTTTTTTTGTTTGTTTGTTTCGTTTTGTAAATTAGCTGTCAACATGCTAAGCTAAAATATTCCAGCATCTACTGAAAAAAATGAAAAGCTATGGCAACACTGAGTCCTTAATTCCCATGCGGCAACAATGTGCAGGACCTGAGTAGCCAGCTGCCACATCCCAGTTGGCACATCTAGTGGGCCCCATTTGCCCTTTGAGACCTGAGTGACAGTCATTATTTGTAATTCTTACGCTGTTGCTTTTCTCTTTCCTGTCTGTTACATTATTCTACAGCTATTTAAGTTTGTTACACCCAGTTTATACCATTCTGTCTCCACACCCAATTTTGTTTAAGCAACACCATCTTGCTCAAATCCTATACTTGCCGAGGCTGGTAGGAAATGGCTCAGAACACACACACCACCCTAAATGTACTCTGTACTTCTCACTAACATGAAAAAAGACCTGATCCATTTAATAATAATCCATCCCACACACCAGGCATCCGGTAACAGCCAGGCACATGGATGATAAAGACAAATAAGACTAGTTTTCTTTTTTTTTTTTTTTCTTGCGGAGTTCAGTTTTGCATTCTCACAGTGCTTTACACTTTTCAAAGTGCTTTAATCCGCATTACAGGTCATTAGTTCCTCTTAAGAATCATTTGGGGAAAATGTGGGGCAATTATTCTCCCGGCTTTAAAGTTAAGAGAGTTGCTCAGGGATGCATTCAGCGTTTATTGAATTTAAACGAACCATTCTAAGTGCCAGGAACTATCTTAGATTCTGGGAAGACAACCAAGAACACAGAAGTGCCCCTACCTTTGTAGTGCTTACAGTCTAGCGAGGAAGGCACAATAACACATTGGTCAGATAATTCGTTGGATGATAATACTATGAAGACTATGAAGGTGAAGAGCAGAGACCACTGGCCTGGCGGAGATGGCCTGGAAGGGAAGCTCCTGCTGAGTCCGACCTGACGCCAGGCACCGGAGGCGACCGGAGGGAAGTCACTTAGAGCAGAGGCTGCAAGTGCTGTGGCTCGCCTGGAGCTGAGGCAGGACTTGTGACTGCGGCCGCGTACCCCTGGGGCGCTGCCCCTACTTACGGAGGTGCCGCCTGGTTCCGGGCGCAGCCCCACTTGCTCCGCAGAGGCCCCGCGTTGGCTCCACGACCTGGCCAGGACGCTCCCGGGTCGTAGGGTGGCCAAGGGGCCTGACTGATGGCACTGCCCAATATGGGCCTGTACCGGCTGAACGATATAAATAGAGGTCCCGCGCCCTGCGGAGGAGGAGGGAGGGCGCTGGCAGCTCCTCCTAGGCGACAGGTGCTGCCCTCGGGTTGGAGGTGGCGCGAGACCGCACCGCCGTAGCCCCGCCGGCCGCTGTGCGCCTGCGCAGGGTCTCCAGCGAGTGTCCCAGACCCTACTGAGCATCCCCCACGGAACTCTGTGCGCCTGTGCAAGGTGTTCCCGCGCTCGCCCATGTGCCAGAGCAACTTGAAGGCCTGCAGGGAGGGGACGAGGATAAGTGTTTAAAGAGGGCTTGGAAATCGGAAAAATGCCAGGTCTTCCCATTACCCTTTTAAACTTGCAAAAGACCCCGTGTGTTGTCTCACTATGACCCGGGGGTAGGGTTGCCGGGTAAAATACAGGAGCCCAGTTAAAGGTAAATTGAAGATGTACAGGCAGTAATTTTTAGTGTTAAGTACGTCCCAAATATTGCATGGTCAATTCACGTTTAACTCGGTATTCCAGTTGGGTTTCGTTTTGGTCTTGTACTTTTATTTGCTACATTGGGCCACCCTACCTGAGCCATCCAGCTTGTGATATTTTTTGCCCTACACCTCTCAGAGTGGGAGGTTTCCAGGAGCCCTGAGAAAGGACCGACTTAGCCAGGAATGTGCAGGGATGGGAAGCCTTCTCCTTCCTTAGGTAAGTGTCACAAAATATGGCAGCTGTATTAGGTCAGTTAGCTTAAAACAAAGCAAAATAAAATTGTTTTCAGTGGTGGCAACATAACTTTATTATCTTATTATTATTTTAGCTTTGTAGGTCACAAGTCCAAAATATGTCTCACTGGGTTGAAGTCAAGGTGTCAGCAGGGCTGTGCTTCTTTCTGGGGCTTTCAGGAGGGAATCTGTCCCTGCCCTTTTGCAGCTTCCAGAAACTATCTTCATTCTTTAGCTCATGGCTCCTTCCTCCAGATTCAAAGCCAGAAACCAGGGCTGAAGCTTTCTCACATTGCATCACTTTGACACTAACTCTTTGCCTCCCTCTTCCATTTTTTTAAATTGTGGTAAAATACAATAACATAACGTTTACCATGTTAATCATTTAAAACAGTCAGTGGCATTATGTTAACAATGTTGTTCAGCCATAACCAGTATCCATTTCCAGAATTTTTTCATAGTCTTAAAAGAAAGTTGGTACTCCTTAAACAATAATTTATTTCTCCCTCCCCTCTAGCACCCGGTAATCTCTATTCTACTTTCTGCCTCTATGAATTTGCGTATTCTAGGTGCCTTATATGAGCGGAATCATACAGAGTTTGTCCTTTTTTTGGGGGTGGGTCGGGGACAGCAGGAACGGAGTCTTGTTCTTTCACCCAGGCTGGCATTCAGTGGTTGGTGTGATGTCAGCTCACAGCAAGCTCTGCCTCCCCAGTTCAAGTGATTCTCCTGCCTCAGCCTTCCTAGTAGCTGGGATTACAGCCGCACACCACCATGCCTGGCTAAGTTTTGTATTTTTAGTAGAGAGGAGCTTTCACCATGTTGCTCAGGCTGGTCTCAAAATCCTGACCTCAGGTGATCCACTTGCCTCAGCCTCTCAAAGTGCTGGGATTACAGGAGTGACTCACTATGCCTGGCCAGAATTTCTCTTTTTGTAACTGGCTTATTTAACTGAGTATAATTCCCTTCTTTTTTTTAAGGCTGAATAATATTTCTCTGTGTATATGTGTGTGTTTATTTACCACATTGAAAACAAAACAGTTTTTATATTGGTAAATAAAATCCCTTTAAATATTTTAGAAGTTATTCATGTCAATGAAGAATGCTTGCATGCATTTGTATTTACACTTATTTTTTCTTTTTTCCTTTTTTAGAGACAGGGTCTCACTCTGTCACCTAGGCTCAAGTGCAGTGGTGCAATCTTAGCTCACTGCAGCCTAAGTGAACCTCTTGGGCTCAAGCGAACCTCCCACCTCAGCCTACCAAATAGCTGGGTTTGCAGGTGCATGCCTGGCTAATTTTTAATTTTTTTAGAGAGAGATAGGGTCTCGCTCTTGCCATGTTGCCCAGGATGGTCTCAAACTCCTGGGCTCAAGCCAATCTCCTGCCTCAACCTGTCAAGCATACACATACCTCCTTACAGTTGTTTGAGGAAATTCATGTGTCCTTTCCCCACAAACATCCCTTGAACCAGTTAGTCCTGATTAGATCCTTCTGCAACTGTTTCCTTTCCTGCTTCTGGTTTTGTTCACGAGATGTTTGTGTGAACCTAATGAATCTTTCTCAGCTTGCTTTGAAGGCCCTGTTCAATTTCCTATTGGGCTACTTTATTTTACCTTTTTCATTTGTTTCAGGTAGAAGTGGAATATGCTATGAAACGTCAGGGCTTGGGGTCCGGAGGCTAATTTGGATGCTGGGTCGTATCACTAAGTGACTTTAATTGATTCTCAAAACATCCATTTGCCAAATGATTAATGAAGTATTAATATTTATCAAAGGTACTGATTTACCAACAACTTGATTTAAGGAATATGTGTCTGGAATATATCATATATGATATCATATCATATATGCTTTTATTTACCCAACAGTAACTTACTATGCTTTTTCTATTTACTGCTTCTTCCTACTGGGCCTGTCTCTTTCTCTCCGTCTTTCTATCTCTTTCTCTCTCTCTCTCTCTCTCTCTCTTCTTGAAGTATTTTCCCTTCTCTTTCTTTTCAAAGGTTTATTTTCAGCCTTTGCTTTCTTACAGTGTTGAGTTGTTTCTCTGTATTCCTGTGTGCAGATATTGTTATTTTTATTTAATGTATTCCTTTATTCTGGCCCTTTGAAACTGATCTACCCATGTCTGTCTCCCTTTTATTGTGACTAGACTCTAGATAGCTTTTCCTTGGCACAGAAACCATTTTCTTTCCACATACCCACTCCCACTCCATATCATTCCTACCTTTTGAAGGAAGAATACACATATCTGAAATAGTACTCTTCACACAGTACAGCTTGGTTCTTGTCTTGAGCCAACTCTATAACTTGGCTTGAGCAGGGTCTTCATTAGACAAACCCTGGCTCTTAAATGAAAAACAAGCAACTTCATTCATCCCCAAAACAGCCTGCAGCAGCACAACAAGCAGACACACCCCAGTGGAGCCAGCTTTCTTCTCTTTTTCTTCCATGTCTGCCCTCTTACTAGCCTGCACTAGTTCTGCTGCTGTATTGTATTGTCTGTGAAGCGATTTTTTAAAAAGTATCAGCTACTTCTTTCCATCCTCCTTCATCATGTATTTCCTTAGGAGACTTTGTTCCTCTAAGCCTTTCCAAAAAGTGAAACTATTCCAGGCTCGTCACCTCAGGGGAGAGTCAGGACAGTGAAAAACAGGGAGGGAATGGAGGAAATGACACTTTCCATTCCAGAAGCCCAGACCCTTTCCGGAAAGTCATGCATTATTGGCATGTATGAAACATTTGGGAGATGACCTAAATTAGAGCAATGCATCCTCCTGCCATACCCCCTTCCCCAGCTGAGGAGAGGAGGCAGTGTCTGAAGGACAAGGAAGGAAAGCATAGATTTTCCTAATCTTTGAGGAAGAAGATTCCTGTTTGGCTGGACTAATTGTAGGGATGCTTGTGGGATCTGAGGAGAGAAGGAATAGTTTTCTCCCTTGCTGAGAAGGGTCACACAGAGGCAGCCAGAACCCCGTGGGCAGCAATAATTTTATAGTGTGGCTGAACAGCAAGGGCTCCAGACAGCCATTCCAGAGGTGTCCCCAAGGCTCTGATACAGTAGAAAGGGCCACTGAACCAAGGGGACCCATGCACACAACCAAGAACCAAGGACAGTGGATCTCTCTGTGGGTGTCAGTGCAGACAGATGGCAGATATTGAGTTCTAGAAGGATGCTTCTTCCCCTGACTCTGGTGTCTTGGTAAGACCTCCCCTCCAAACTTAGAGGTAACCCTGGGAAAGGGGAAGGGCTGAGCATCCTGGTGGCCTGGAGGCGTCAACTAGAACTTGTTAGCGCAGTCAGGTTCTGTTTCACACACACATTAGCTTTTGGACTGTCAAGATGGAAGCCTCGACCTAATACAAGTTCTAGCCTGGAGAATGAGCACTCATGGAAGTGGGGAATGGTGCCCCTCTGGGGTTTTTCTTTCAACCTTAGTTTCAACATGCTACAAAGAGCACCGTGAAAGACAGATCAGAAACACAAGCTGAACTGATGACCACTATATAATTTGCTCATTCCTTTTGTCATGTCTATTCACTCTCACCCCCAAATGTGAACTCCCCAAGGACAGGGATTACATCTGTCATGTTCACTGCTGTATCCCCAGCCCCTGGAAAAGTGCCTGGCACAAAGTAGGTGCTCAGCAAATGTCAGCACAGTGAATGAACAAGTGAATGGGTCAGAGTCTCAGTTATAGACTGGAATTCATTTTGGCTTGTCTGGGAATACCACCCAACCAGGCTCAGATGTTACAGTCCTGGGAGTGATAGCTCTTCTTTAGCCAGAAGAAATACCCCTTCCCCATGCTACTCTGCCCCTGTTCAAAGACAGAACTCCAGAGGCTTCCAAAACTATATCAGACTGTCCCCTTACAGTGCCTGCCAGATGACTGTGTCTCTCTCAGGCTCCTGCCTCCCCTCCACCTCCAGGTCTCCTGGGAGGGCCTCTGATAACAGAGGCAGGTCACAGGTTTGTACCCTGACTTTGGGATGGTCCAGGAAATGTGGCTTAAGCTTTATTTTTTGATGGAGTTTTGCTCTTGTTGCCCAGGCTGGAGTGCAATGGTGCGATCTGGGCTCACTGCAATCTCTGCCTCCCAGGTTCAAGTGATTCTTCTGCCTCAGCCTTACAAGTAGCTGGGATTACAGGCATGCGCCACCACGCCCTGCTAATTTTGTGTTTTTAGTAGAGACGAGGTTTCTCCGTGTCGGTCAGGCTGATCTCGAACTCCTGACCTCAGGTGATTCACCCGCCTTGGCCTCCCAAAGTGCTAGGATTACAGCTGTGAGCCACCATGCCTAGCCGAGCTTAAGCATTTCTTTGATCTGTTTCAGCTTCTTTAGTTGGAGGGTTGGAAGATGTGTTGCCTTTTCCCCCCTCATCCTGAGGTTCGTGACCTGTGAGGAGCTAAACCACCACCCCTGGAGAGAGCCAAAGGTGAGTGGCATCCTAAAGAGATCTGGGGTGGCCACATGGGGGACACTCCAAAGAGCACAGAGGAGGGCTCAGGAGGAAAGGAGGAGTGGAGAACAGGGCTAAAAACAGCACGTAAAAAACACTACATTGTGTTGACGTGGTGGTGAGCAGAGGCCAAAGGACTTGGAGCCTGAACTTGAGTGCTGACTTCCAAGAAGAGGCTGGTAGGCCTTATGTGTTAAGTCTCACCCACTGCTCTGTGTGTGTGTGTGTGTGTGTGTGTGTGTGTGTATCAATGTCTGCAGCTTCAGGGTCAGCACCTGTGGGAGGGTGGGGCTTCCAGCAGTCACAGCTCCTTCATTTTTTGTCCTTGCTAACTGTCCTGGTCTGAAGGGCTCTGAGCACTGTTGCCAGTGCCCATCACATGATGCTCACCCTACAGAGCTTCATATGGTGGCCATGTGAACACATCTTTCCATTTCCCTATCCAACCCCAAGAGCTCCTGTAGGCCAAGAACTCTGTCCTGTTTACCTTTATGGTCCACTCACCTGCCTAGCTCAGTCCCTTAAGAGAACAGAAGATCAGGGAATGTTCACAGATTTGGGGTTATTGAGAGGAAAAGCAGGTAAGTGAAGAGGAAGGTGGACCTGGGGATGAGACCCCTGGGGTCCTGGCCCGGCTCTGTTCCCTAAGACCTCTTGGCCTATGGAAGTCACCCAGATTCTTGGAGTATGATAGGCAAATGATAATGGGTCTGTCTCTCATCCATGCTATTAGGAGGATGAAATAGGAGAGCTAATAAGTGTGGAAGTGTTTTGATAAACTGTATAGTAACACAAAGTCGTTTTCCCTGATAAGGCATGTGTTATTAATAGAAACTCCTTTCCTAAAGATCTTGAAAATGGGATGTAAAGCCTTCTCTTATTGATAATCCTGATTGCATCCTGTCTTGAGGCAAGAGATAGACTATATCTCTTTTGGAGGCTCTTCCACTTTAAAAGTGCATCTCAGGGAAGCATGGGAATGGAGTTATTATCTGTCTCCTTAGACACACTCTCCCATGCCCATGATGATAAGTCATGTTCAGACTTTCCATCCTTGGGGTATTCGAGGTTACACACAACTTAATCTAGTAGATATTGGGTTTTTAAAAGGTCATGAAACCTTCTGGAAGCCAACATTCTCTCCATATTTCAAGATTATTTCATTTCTGCCCACAATTAAATCCTCAAATCCTGAATATACGAATACTCAAATTCTGCTTTAGACCAAGGTCCAGGTGGTTTCTTAACATAGGCAGGAGTAATTGTTATTGTTTGTTGTACTGTTAAGCAATGACCAGTGATCTTATATATGGTATGAATTAAGATATGTAGGCTTGTTTGCTCTAACAAAGAATTAGAATGAGGATTCCCTAAACCAGAGAGAAGTGAATTTTCTTTCACACAACTGCCCAGGTGGGAGAATTCCAAGGCTGCTAAGGTGGCTCCAGGATGTCACTGACTGTTCCCCGAGGTTCCTTTTCTCTTCCTGTTCCACCTTCTCAAAAGTATTGCCCTCATCCATGTGCTCCCAGACGGTTCACCCTACCTCCAACGGGAGAAGGGAGGGGAGGGGGAAGACAAGCCCTTCCCTTTAAGTGCACACCCGGAAATCACACATGTCACTTTTGCTCATACCATTGGCCCTAACCTAGTCACATGGCAAACAAAGGGCTTTGGCGCTGGCAAATGTAGTCTTCCTGGGTGGCCAGCAGTTCTTTTATTCAGAAGAAGGGGAGGACAACATTAAGATATGGGGAGCTCTCTTTGCCATGCACACTTTCTGTAGATTCATTAGTTTCTATAGATTCGTGCAAACATCTATCTCACTTCTTGTAAAGCCTTGCACCTCTCCTTTTCAGCCCTTGTCTCGAGTTTAGTTTTTTCTTGGCACGTGTTATTGTGTGATAAATGACTCTTCTCCCAGCTAAGCTGTAAATGCTGTGAGGGCAGGGACTGTGTCTGTCTCTGCTCATCCATCTGTCCCCAGAGCCTAGCACAGTGCCTGGCACAGCGTAGATGCTCAATAAATAGTTGTTGAGTAAATTAATAAATATAATTAGGAAACTTCTCACTATCTCCCAAGCTCAAGCATCACCTCTTCTTTGTATCTTTACTGTAAGACATCGCTGTGCAATTACTGCTGCCATTGTCCGTGTTCTCAGAGCACTCCCACTCTGTCCTGTGCTGGTAGATCGCCTTTGGCCTAAGGCATCGCAGGGTCTCGTGCCCTGCTGGCTGCTGAGCTTCTCCAGGGCAGAGAGTGGTCACATCATGTCTGAATCCCAGGGCTCAGCACATGGCTGGCACATAGGAGGCCCCAAGGTGCATTGATCTGTGTTTGAAAATGAATGGCTCCTATGTAGAGCAAATGTAAGTTTTGTTTTTCAGTTATGTGCTTTCACCTACTGCTGTTATTATAGCTCTTCTCCCAAAGAATTGTTTTTTAATAATGCTCCAGCCTTTTCCTTCCACCTGCTAATGCAGAGAAACATAGGAGAAGTGTGGGACCAGAGAACCTCACACCATGTTGCATAAGAAAAGCTGGGACCATGTAGTATATGATCCACCGATGTGAGCTGTGGGACTCCAGCTTCTCTCTAAACTCTCACCTGAACTATGGATATTGTATTTTCCTGTTATCGGAGTAACTTGGCATTAATATTAGAAGAGTAATGCGTCCCTCACCATTTGCCCATCCCTCTAGTCATTAAATAGATATTTATTGAGCACGTATTTTGTGCCATATGTAGCTAGGTACTGTGTTTAGACATAGTAAAGCCCGTGTCTTATAGCTAGATCCAGCTGTGTAAGACAGATGTGGTCCCTTAGAGAATACAATCTGGTGAGGTGCCAGGTAATCAGCCTCTCACATCTTAATTCTCCCTTTCTTTCGTTTTCAAACATAGAAACAATTTCTTAATCTTAAAAAAAAATCCAAAAACCTTTTAGCTACTTTCGCTGTCTTTCCAGCAACTTTCTCTCATCGTTCCTTTTCACTGGCAAAAGGGTAAAATGTGTGGATTGTGCTGGTGCTGTTGATTTCCTTGCTACTCATTACCTCCCTGCTTCCACACTTACCACTCTGCTGAAATTGCTCTCTTGGTGAGCACAAAAGGCCCAAGAAACCAATGCCCCTTTCTCAGGCTCATTAGCAATGGATTCTCCCTTTCTTCTTGGAACCATCATATTCTTTATCTGACAGTGATTGCATGTTACAGCTTTAGACTGGGCAATTTAAGAGATTTATTTTCCACTCTAAAGAGTTGAGCCTCAAAATAAATCTGGACATGAAACACAATATTTTAAAACTTTTTTTTACTGCAAAATACATAATGCAACTGGTAAAAATTCATGACATTCAAAAGCATATACAATAAAAAATGTACCCAAGTTCCCCAAATCCTAGTTTCTCATCTCTAAAGGGACTATTATCAGTTTATTCAATGTCCTGAACTTAATACTTAGAGGTCACCAAGAAACTTTGTATGGAACTGAGGATGGAAGCAGGAAAACAACAAAAATTTATTTTGGGGGTCTAAGTGTTGGAACAGAGGTAAAGATAAGCAAAGAGATTCTACCTAGATGATAGGGAGGGTGAAGCATCAAAGACAACTACAGGTTTAGCAGCCTTTAACCTGAGAGACTGGCAGAATAAAGGATTAGTGACAGAAATGGGATTAGTGAATGCAGGACGGGCAGTGCTCTTATTTAGAAATTGTGAGTTTGAAGTGATTTAAGATGATTAGGCAGTGGAAAGAGCCCAGGATAGGGGTCAGAAGACCTAACTGAAGTCTAAATCCTACAGCTAACTATAAGACTTTAAGCAGAAGAACATTTGGGCCTGAGTTCTTTCAACAAGGTTTTATTGAATACCTGCTTGTGCCAGGCACTGTTCTAAGCACCAATCATGTGGCAAAAAATGAAAGCCCCTGCCCTACAGAGCTTACATTCTAGTGGGAGAGGCAGACCACAAACTTGATGGGAATATATTTCCATGCAGTGATAAGTGCTATGAGGAAAAATAAATCAGGATAAGGGGCTAGAAAAGGTGGGTTGGGGTGATACCATACGTAAGGCAATCAGAGAAGGCCTCTCTGAGGAGGTGACTTGAGGGACAGAAGTGAGTTTCAGGGGAATTCAGTGGACTGTCTCCAGGGTCACTTCCACTCTATGGTCTGTGATTCTAAGTGAAGACATCCTGTGGTAACTTAGAAATTAGGATCTGGGGCATAGGTATAAGGTTAGGGAGAGAGATGTGGATCTGATGAGCTGCCTTAGTCTGGAGCTCTGAATGACTGCATGAATGAGATTAATGAGATGATAGAAGCCATGAGATCAGAGATGAAACTATGTTAGAAAAGCAAGACCAAAGACAGTGAGCCGAGGCACACTGAAAGCTGGGGAAAGAGTAGGGGAAGAGAAGATAATGAAGGAGATAAAAAGATAAAATATTCTACAGTGGAAGAACAACAAAAGGAGACAAGATGGTTGCAGATACCCAGAGAGGAGGAAGTGGTGGTGAAGAGGGTCAGATTATGTAAAGAGGTAAAGACCCGGGACAAGGCCTCATGATTTGGCAAAAAAATTACTGACAATGTTCCTGGGCTGTGCCACTGGCAAGGCAGAGAGCAGAGGGTAAATTACATGGAGTAAAGGAGAAGGCAAGCAGGGTAGAGTGAGGCCGAGGAATCTCCCGGCCTCAGCATACTGTGGTTTACCACACTAGAAGCTTATCTTTTGTTCAGGGAACAGCCTCAGGCAGGTGTCAGCTATCAAGGCAGCTTCCTCCATGGCCGCTGGGGGACCCTGGCTGATGGTGGCTCTGCCATGACCTTCTGCTCACTCAGAAGGGAAAGGGGTGTGGAAAAGACCATGTGGGAGGTTCGCATGGATCAGGCCTACAAGAGGCACATCTCACCCTGTTCACATTCCACTGGGAAGAACTAGGCCACATGATCACATCCAGCTGCAAGGAA